CTTTCAAGCATGCAGTTTTATACTACCTGAAATAGCTTCTATTCCATCTGAAAAGATGTTTTAATGTAATATTGAATACCACTTCTAAAATCCTACAGAAAGTTAAGCCAAAAATTTCAGTAATTCACATTTCTGCAGCTGAGTATGTTCTAAGCCATGTCTATTTGGAAAGAAGTGTAGTAAATCACAGTAAGAACAGTAGGAAGCCCAGTGTTAACACAATAGCCAAAGTACCAAACAAATGCAATCTCACCTCATTCAGTTGTTGTGCCTCATACAGACCAATTCACCAAATTGTTTGTCAAATGGCTTAACAACAAACACTTCTGAAGTTAGAAGTATGATGAAGATATACAATTGTGTATCAGATTAGACTTTCTTCTTTTTCCTTTTCATAATGGAAACTTTTTATTCTCACTAAACTGACATTTCACACTTGAATTTTAGGACCCTCACTGAAGTAACTTCATGTATTTGAATCTGGAAACACACTTACCTTATTGTACATCAACACATTTCGGTCATATGCAAAATAAAAGTTTTAATAATATTAAATCTATTATATTAAGTGAAAAGCATTTTCATCTCTTAACTTGTATGTTTTTTGTATGTTTGTATGTTTTCATACTTTGAGAAACTTTCACCATTATCATACCTACAGTACATGCTGTACTGAATTCTGATTCCAAGATTCAGCCTGAAAAGTTGGATTAAAAATTAGAAATCCCTGCAGAGTTAGGAGAAAAAAGGAACTTCTTTACATCTGCAATCAATTTCACAGCCAAAAGGGTCTCCATAGTTTGCATTTCACTCTGTTTTCAAAGAGGATTTTCCATTAGTGGTTGGCATTTTTAAATATATTTGGCATGTTGTGCCATTTTACATTCTTAGGCTATGGAAAAGAACAACTGCTTAGCCCTGCATTTTTCCTCATGCAAAGTATCTCACTACTTATGCAGTGCACCACAACTGTCATCACAAAATTGCCTATTCATAACCCAAGTCAGATAAACTTTATCAGAAAGTTTGGCTGAAGTCATTGTCAGCCTTCCCACTTTGTAGGTGTAGCTCATCTTTAATTCCTTCACTTTCCTCCATGGTGCCTCTCCATATACAGAGAGTGAAAACTCCTTGGAAACCCACCTTTCTGCCAGGTAGAGTTTGCCAAATGCAGGTCTCTGAAAAGTTCACACTCTGCCAGTTGAATGTTATCTACCATGTATGGTTGAACTTATTCCCTGATACCATTATCTGCACTGAGCTGTTACCCTGAGCTTTAAAGCACATACCAAAATTAGACAAATCTGCTATACAATCATTTCATCAATTTTGCAATAGGGTCCCAGGTATTTAAACAAGCCAAGAGTGAGCTTCTGACCCACCTGCTGTAATACCATGCATTTATGTTGGTCTCAAACTCTTCAGGTTTGAGCAACTACTCTTCATTAGATGTCAATAATATAAATAAAGTGCATGCATAAATATAGAACAAAAATGAGAAGTGGGACCTCACATAGGAAACACAGCATTTGGAATTATTTTAGGATTTAGGTAATTTTAATTTTTCATTAGTAAAACTACTGCAAATGAGATGCTTTCAACAAGACAGGACTGCAAGCCACCAAGAAACCATATTTGAACAGTGTAACTCCAGAATCCCAAAACTTCACACATTGGGTTCCTGTTGAGGGCAGAAATTTTACACAGTGTTACAAAAGCACCTTGATCATGGTTATCCTTCATGGGTTTTCTATGGAACTCTTTTTTTTCTTCATTTAAAAGCTATACATTTTATGCTGGTCTCTTACAAAGAACTTATTAACTAGTCTCGATTCACTTAATGCAAAATCAAATTAGAAGGCTTTTTTAAATGCTTTAATGATCTTTCAGTATAATGAAGCCCTCTCCTCAATTCCAGCAGTAACTATTTTCCATATCTGCTATACTACCATTTCCCCCCAAAAAGACTTGCATTTTTGTTTAAGCTAAATTCTGCTTACAGTAAAATATGTTTATTGTATTAACACCTTCCTTTTCTTTGGTATATGGGCACATACAGGGAGCCAAGAGTCCAAACGACAAGAAAATATCTACCAAATCATGAAACAATTCATTGCCAACAAACATTCTGTAAGTCTAAATTTACACTTTCATTTTTGTGATCTTCATGCAGTTCTAACCCAATAAGCTGTGTATCTACTAGTTACATCCAAATGTTTGATTAAAACACACTTAGTATATACACATTTCTCAGTTCACCCATATAGTTCTAAATTATTGTTCAGTCTAAGCATTTTATATAAGCGCTGGTTTTATTTAAAAAATATTAGAGATGGATATGGGAGTTTTCTGGATAATGCAGTGGTCTGTTTTATCCCAAAGGAAGTATTTAATTAGTGCAATATTTTCCACACGCAGGGGGAAGAGTAAAATGGTGTATGAATACGACAATTTTGGTGAAAAAAAGAAATATATATATATATATAGGCTACTAGATTTGAAACAGCCAACATATCTGAGATTAAAGAAATAATTAAACAGAAAACAAACATATTCCTACACATTCAATACCACTATATTGTGCACCCTGTTAACTATCCCCTTTAAAACTCCTAACATACAAAAAAAATCTTGAAATGTAGAAAATTCCAATCATGTTTTAATTTCTCATAGAGATCAGTATATCATGGAAAATGGCTGGAAAGTAGTTTTGATTGTGAAGTTACACAGTTTTAGATCTTATTTTCAAGAACTATTATTAAAAATATTATTATAAAAAGATGACCTTTATAGTAGTACTAAAAATTTAAAAAGGTAAATAATTAATTTCCAATTAAGAAATATGGAGGACATTTTACATAAGAAAATGTTTCAGATGTATACAATTGCCACTATGAATTTTTAAATGCCATTTTCTTTTGTATTTTCAATAGTTTCTTCTCACAGAAAAGTAATTTGTCAGAGTACTTACACTGACAGTAATTTTATTTCTCATAAGAAATAAACAAAAAAGTCATTTAAATCTATATGAAATCAAATTATCTATCAATAAATGGGATTATTTTAATGCCATTAATTATATCCTATGCTTCCATTAAAGTAAGAAATCCATCTATTTAAGGAACTGTCTGTAAACTTGCACTTTCTAGACAAAAGCAGGTAACTGTATTTGTTCATCTTGCTCATGCCCACATTGCTCATTTCTTCCCATTATACCCAGTAACCTCTATTTTTTCTCATCATAGTCAGGTTTCTGAGGTAGCTGTCCATTCTTTGCATATACTTACAAAAAAAAACAAACACACTTCCTCACCATACTCAGTCTTTGGAATCATTTGAAAAATGGAAGTACGAAGTTGATTTGTAAAATGTAAGCCTTGTGTTTGTGTAGCAATGTTGATCTCTTATTTCTCTGTATGTCTATATTCTTAATCTGGAAAGATTCTGCAAATATGGGCTTTGATTGAACAATCAGTGAAAACAACTTTAGTATGTTTCTATGAGCAATTTATATGCCTTCTTAACATTCATCATTAAATTAGGTAAGCTGAACAATAATAAAGGTATGTTATTGAGCAGGTTCACCTGCACAAACACAACTGGATTCTAGTTTAGGAAAGAGATGAAATTCAAGAGTGATAGGATCAAATTCAAATAAAAAATTAAAATATTACTGTGTAGGTGAAAAGTGAATAATGAAACTTACTGTAACATATGGAGCTCATAAATTACAATATACTCATTCTTAAAACTTGAGCTCCATGACTTTTTAAAAGTATATGGCTGATTTCCCAAAACAAACATAGCAAAAATATGCAAAGCCAAAACAACGGACCACAGCACAGTGAAACTTCACTGTATTCCCATAAAGAACTTACAGAGACGAGTGTTTTCCTCGTAGTCAAACATGTATGTTTCTAATGACTTTCTCTTGAATCTCATCAAATTACAGGAAATTCAGCACTAGCTCTGAAGTCCACGCAGCCGACCTAGTCTAGCGTTGCCACTTTATAAGTATCTAGTATGCTGAGAAGAACATGAGCATATGCTTAAAAAGTAACAGCACACTGAAATGAGAATTCTGATTGCATTTATCTGCTAAGCTTTTAATTTTCTAATATTCCCCTCTTCATCTGAAGGCCAATAAAGCCCATAAAGTTCAGCTTTATGGAGTAAACTGTATGTCAGAATAAGAAAATACACAATGCAAATTTTTTTTTTATTTTAAGGAGTCCTATACATTGTAACAAGGATTTTTCATGAGTATAAGGAGGGGTTTTTTGACAGGATCAGATAATAATCAGAAAAGGAGACAAAGCATAAAATGTAGCAGAATTTGTTTTACTGCTTCATCAGTTGAACTGTATAAAGCAGTCTGCTCTTGTGCTCATACTTAAAATCTCATTGGACAAGACATAAAATAAAATCAAGAAAAAATAAATAAACATAAATATTGCTACTGTTTTATTAAACCTGCAGCTTGACTTTATAATTTAAAAGATATTTGGAACAAAAGTCAAACCCATTTATTATCATTACGTCTTGAAATAGTTCAGTGGAACTTGAAAAACTTCCATAATTCTCAGAAAGCCAAATTTTGTATCCTGCAAGCAAGAAAAATTCCAAGACTTCAAAAAGAGAATAAAGCCAAAATAAATTCTTATTTGCCTATCTGTAGTTAAGACCCACAACATTTTCCTTTGAGTAGCATTTACACTTTTTAAAACAAGCTGTGTAATACACAAGATTTTTATGCAACTCTGTTTACTTGGAAAAACACTATATAATAAATTGAAAATAATTGAAAGAAATAATACTAGAAAAATTAATTATGAAAGAATTTAGTCAGCATTTACTGTAATATTTAAAGTCACCAAAACAACAATCATGACTTACAGTGATAATATTTTTAAAGATCAGCAATAAATAACCAGTCTGTTCTTAGCAGTACCTAGAAAGATATATCTCAGATAATTAGGAACAATGGCATCATGTAGTACCTTCCATTGCCCTTTTAAAGAAGACTTTACAACTCCCACAGGTGAGTACTCCATAGTGGCAACCAGAAGCCTCATCACCGCAGATGAGACAAATCTTCTGGGGTAGCGATTCAAAGCCGTACTGAGAACTTTGGCTGGTTTCTGTATCTGGCCTTCAAAAGAAAAGATTTAAGAGAAATTAAGTATGTAGTTTTGCAGCAGTTAACTCCTTACCTGCATTAAAAACTCCCCTTTTATATTTGTGATCAAGCTACAGATAGACAAGGAAAAAACCTACGACTGCCTTTCTGCTTAAGAGTTTGTCTCTACCAGGGTGAAAGGGACATCTGTAACATTCAGCTAGTCATTAAACAGGGAAGTGAAGCGCAAAAAGGACAGTTGTATTTTAAGCTATTTTAGCTTAAAAGGTACAATTTAGAAACTATTTGTTAAAATGTCCATCCTCCTCAGATGAACAGCTCTTGTGAATGAAGTCAAACTAAGACTTTTTTCCTGTACACAGAATAGTGCAGAGACATAATCCGAAGTCAAATGAATTCCAAAAGCCTCTTTCACATGGGGCATGACTAAGTTTCACCTCAGTTAGAAAAATCTTTATTAGTCAATTTGTTACCTTCCATTCAGCTGCAGCATTCTCATCAGTAGCTAATGAGCACATCGACCGTATTTCCCAATTTCTCTCCAAACTGAACAGATTAGCCTAATTAGCCACTACGTTCACAAAAATAAAGGATTTCAGTTGAAACTGTAGCATTACATATGCATATTTTTGCATCTGTTTCTAGGTAATGCACATCATCTTGGCATGACAGTATGCTGTTTTGTTCTAACAGATCAATGTACAAGTGGTTACATCCTTTTTTTTTTTTTTTTTTTTTTTTTTTTTCTTTTTTTTGGGTGGGGGGATGATATTAGCTGGTTTGTGGGTTTTTTTCCCCAAGCTGGAAGCAGTATTTTTGAGATATTACATTAGTTTTGAACACTGTCTCGCTGTCAGCGAGGAGTGCCTGAAGAACATACTTCTCCCTCTCCCTAGAGTTGGTCTCTTGCTCAGACTTCGGATGGCACTGAACCATCAGAGGAATAGAACCACAGCTTCTCTCGGACCGTTATGATGCTGAAAAGATATGGGAGGTGCCGCCTGTAAAGTTAACACTGTGCTGGTTTCACACAGACCGGGCGTGCACAAACGGGACAGAAAACGGAAACGCGGCTGCAGTTACCGCCTAAAACCCCGAATGGCGGACCGCCGGGCACGACTTGGCTCAGCACCTTCCAGGCGCCGCCCGGGACGACAGCCCCTCTCTCTGCGGCTCAGCTCCTCGGGGTGTCGGCCCCTCTCACCCTGGTACAACCACCCTCGGTGCCGGTCCCTTTCCCTGCGGCAGGGCCACCCTCCCTTGGTAAGGGTGCGAAGCTCTCCCGCCGGCAACCCGACCCCGCCGCCCGCCCCATCGGCGAGGGAACCCCCACTAAAGGGCCCGCCATCCCTGGCCTCCCCCCTTACCGGACGTAGCCGAGATAGGGCGGGCACAGCTGGGGCAAGCCCTCCTTCAGCACCGCCGCCGGGAACCCCAGGGACTGGTGCCCGTTGAGACCCAGGGGCGGGTAGAGGCCCGGCGGCGCGGCCGAGGTGGAAGGCAGGCTGTCGGGTGGCGCTACCACCGCCGGCGGCCCGTAGGGCCCGGCGAGGAGGGTGGGCTCCGTCTTGTAGAGGACGCACTCCAGCGACGGCTCCGGCCCGGCCCGCGGGGGCTGCGGGAAGTCGGCGCAGGCCGGGGCAGGGGTAGCCCTGCCGCCCGGGTACGGGGTCGGGAGGCCGAGCCCCTCCTCCTTGATCTTCAGAGCCGGCTGGAAATCGCCGTATGCGAAGTGCCCGTCCTTGCCGTCGGGCGGCGGGTAACCGTATCCCGGCAGATCCACGGCGGGCGGCGGGGAGCGTGGCAACGCGGCGCCGCCGTCGAACTCCGCCACGTCCAGCAGCTGCCGCGTGCGCGAGGCCAGATAGGCCGAGTTGAGCGGCAGCAGAGGTACGTGCAGGTACTCCTGACCCGCGTCCCCACCTCGTGTATCGCCCTTCGGAGCCTCACCGGGACCCTCCCCGCCGCCCCCCGGGCCCGATGGACGCGGTTTTGCGGCGGCCGTCAGCGGTTCGCCGGCAGGCCAGAGCGGGACGGGCCGCGGAGGGGGTTGCGAGGGGGCAGGTGGTCCTGGGGCGTCTTCGCCCGCTTTCTGCGAGGGGCAGCGGTTCATGGCGTCGTCGGGTGCCTCCGCCGCCTCAGCCCCGAAGAACGACCAGGGCGCCGAGGGCACGGTGGAGCTGGCATGAGCTGTGGGCACCAGGAAGGTGTCCAGAACCGTGTCCGACAGAGAGCCGCTAGCCGGCCGGTAGGAGAGGGAGTCCCGGTCCTGCTCCTCGTCCGGCTGCTGTTGCTGCCCCGGCTCGTCTTCCTCGTCGCTGCTCTTGGAGTAGATCAGTCCGTCCAAGGAGATGTCGATGGCCTCCGCTTCCCTGCGGAAGGAGTCTCGGCCGGGTTGGCCCTGCAGCAGGACCGCCCCGTCTCTGGCCGGCGGCGGTGGCCGGGGTTCCTTGGCTTTAACCTCGGTCATGCTGGCCCGGGGCAGGGCTGGACGCCGGCGTGACTCCTGCCCGAGGGGCGGCAGCGCCGCTGTTCACATCCCGGACGCGCCGGCGGAGGCGGCGCGGGTCCCGCTCACATGGCTCTGCCTTCTGGGGGGCGGCTCAGCCGCCGGCAGGAGAGTGAAACGGCACCAGGGGCGGTGCAGCCTGGGGGGCAAACAACCGGAGCGTGTGCGGGCGGAGCGGCGGGCGGGAGCGCGGGTGCTCCCTTACCCTGCCGGCGGGTGGAGATGCCGCTCGCTGACCCCCGCCTCTGCGCTTTCCTCTTCTGCCTCCCGCCGTCCGCGCATCCCGCCAACTCCACGCCCCTTTGCCTGTCCCGCCCCGCCGCCAGCCGCTGCCCGCGGCTGCCCTTGCCGGGTTGTGCGCTGCTGCTGCGGGGTGCGGCTTGCCCCTCACTGTTCCGTTCTCCGATCGTTGCTGCACTTTGTCTCCGTGGGATAGCCGGTCCCGGGCTCTGCGGCTCCCCGGCAGCGTTTCCACCGGCTCCTCCTCGACTTCGCCTGTCCCGGCCAGTCTTTCCCGTCGCTCGCCGTGTCCACATCTCATTCCCATCGCGTCTGAGTCCCTGTGCCTCAGGGGCACCTGGCCTCTCCCCGGCGTACGTTTTTCTGACTTTCCTCGTCCCTTTCCTCATGTCTTGTGCTGGTGCTCTGTCCTCAGCCTTCACCATCCCGAGAGGTGCATGTCTGGACTGGGCACGGGCTTCAAGCAGGTTGAGTGTGTCGTTTGGGAGAGCAGAGAGGAAGGCAAGCTTTCCTTCTGTGCAGTGATGATAGTTTTCTTCATGACTTGTTTTTCATTGTCACCTTCAGACGTTCAGTAGTTTTTCAGGATTAAGGCCCTCTGGTAACAGCATCCATTTTCCAGGACCAAAGAAACCAAGGCATTGTACAACACTTTTAAATTACATTCAGGGACCTTGAAGTATTCTCTATGCCAAGAAAGCAAAACATTTTGCTGGTTTTTTTTTTGTTGTTGTTGTTGTTTTTTCTCCCCACAAAAGAGGGGGGGGGGGGGAAGGCATTCTTTGCTGCCAATATTTTCCTTTAATTATTTTGTCATTTAAAATGGAACTGATTTACAGTGGCTGGCTGGCCAGCCTGCATATAGCAAGTTACAATCCAGCCCAAGTTAGTTCTGACCAAGAAGCTGTCACCAGCTAATTGCTGCCTGCCGTTCTGTGTAAAATGCTGGCAGAACCCATTCAGCTCAGTAAGACAGTTACTAATTGGAAAAAAACTCCAATCCTGGCTATAATATGTGTTATATAGAAGTCTTAGAAAAGAAACTGGTATTGGTATTTTACAGCGAGGTGTCCCTGCCCATGGCAAGGGGGTTGGAACTTGATGATCTTAAGGTCCTTTCCAACCCTAACTATTCTATGATTCTATGAAAGATCAAATAATGGCTTACTGTAGGAGTAGTCCTCTTGACTTTTAATACAATCAGTGTATTTTTGATTCAGAGAGAAATGCATGCTGTTACATGCTTGTTTATGCTCTGTAAATATGCTGCTCAGAAAACACATGTTTTTTCAAACACTCTGATCACCACAAAATACCTGCTTTTGTTATTTTGCTGTCAGGAAAAAAATCAGACTGAAAAGGACAGGTTCTTGGGGAGAAAAACATAACTGGAATTATTTCAGTGTTCTGGAAGCTAACATCAGAAATCATACAGGGCAAGCTGATAGAAGCAGCAGCTTCACATGAACCTTGTTCAATGAGGTGTGTACTTTCTGTGTTACTCTTGGCAAAACATGACTGGCTTGTAGACTGCTTTGAAGTCTGCCCTTTATTCCATTAGGAAGTAGAAGAAAATAATTTTTTTTTTTTTCAAAGAATCGTGGGTTTGTGGTAATACCTGACATTTTAAAACTTAGATGTCATGTAGGCACCTCTGTATACATTCAGGAGGTTCAATGGAATGATGCATATCAAAGAATACTTGTTATGTATAGGAATATTTCATTAACAGCAGTGTCTCACACTGCTGATATTGCAGGGGAAAGAACTGCTTGACCAGCAAGTAGCAAGAATTGAAGATGTTTTTACAAAGCTTAGTCAAACTGATGTTAAAAGAATACTTTCAAGAGAAACAAAATGGTTCTCTTAAAACATGAGATTAAAACAAATAATTTCAGGGCTTCTCTGGCTACTGAATTTCTGCTATTTCATGCTATCTTTCTCCCTTTTTCCCAAGCTTTCCTTTTCTCAGGAGAGACAGAAGTTCATCTCCAGCACTGTTCATCTCTGTGATCCTTTTGGTTCTCCCCTGATGTTTTCATGCTTAGTTGTCATGCCTGTTTATTGCCACTCTCTTGCTTTCTCATTTCCACTTCCTCAAATGCACACAGGATTCATGGCCTGCATCTTTAGAGAAATGTGCTCCAAAGACTTGTTTCCTTCCAGTTACTAGCCTCCTTACTACCACTTCAGGACTGGAAGAGGTAGTGAGCTGCAGCTGTCAGGAGAGGTGGTCCTGAAAGGAAAGCAGCATTGAGTAGTTACCACAAGACCAACTCAGTACTGCTAATTACTTGTCTGCTGAAATTCCACACTAACAAGGCCATGTGACTTTAAGTACCTGTAAATTCACCAGAAATACAGATGTTTACTACTTGCATTATTCCTCTGAATGTTAGCAATTTCATATTGTCCAGGTTTTATGTCGTCCATCCTAGTTTCATTTTTATGACTCATCAGATATGCTCACTTCTTAAATGATAATAATTATGCTGAATTGTCATTAAGGAAGAAATTGTAGGTTCTTTATCTTTAGAACATGCATTGGACTTTCATATATATTGGCTTCACATGAATTCTATGAACTTTCACTGGAAACTTTTGCTGTTTTCTTCATATTATTCTGTCCGTAACCTTCCTGCCTCATCCCTGGAAGTGTTCAAGGCCAGGTTGAATGGGGCTTTGAGCAACCTGGTCTAGTGGAAAGTTTCTGTGCCCACAGCAGGGGCTTGGAACTAGATGATCTTTAAGATACCTTTCAACCCAAACCATTCTATGATTCTGTGATTCATTTGTTTTCTTTTTCTGTCATATTCTTTCACTTTCTTTGAATGCTTTCCCTGATATTGCTATGGTATCACAAGTTTTTCAATAAAAGCATTTCAAAGTGTGCCCTACCAAATTTACTGACATTCTGGTGTTGTTGTTGTTTACTCATTTTGATTTATTACTTTTGTGAGTCTAGCAGTCACAGTTATAGAAAAACAGGTTTTCTTAAGGTATTTCCTCAGCTAATTTTCATTTACAAGCCATTAAAACTGAGACTGACATTTTCAGTTCAGATCTAAAGATGGTGGGCTTTTGTATTCAGTGAGCTTTTACTGAATATACACATTTCAAACAGTAAACAGTATGAATAGAATTCTACTTCAGGAGAAACCTATTTTGAACCAAGTGGTAAAACACTAGAGGGTTTGATTGACACTATTATATTTTTTACAATTGAACTAAAACTTGCAAATACAACATTTGAGAGCTGAAATTATTCTCATGTCATTTTGCTTGCTCTGTTCAAAAACTGTGATGAATAAAAGCTGCACTTAACATAACTCCTCAGCTGTCTTACTTTGCAGAATAATTCCTGTATAAAATGTCAACAAGAACAGCAATAGAGTTATATTGAGAACTCTCCCTGTAATGCTTTAATTTGCATTTAATGTTTAAGTAGTTCCTGAGCATTTGTTTGACCCTTCCAACAATAAACTCTGTACCTTTAAGCAGTAAACTTTAATTGACCCTTCAAAATATTTCTAATTTTGTGGATTCAAATAGAAAAAGGCTGTATGAGAAACAAGTGCACAGCTTGCTCAAACACTGCAATATCAAAATCACAATCCTTTTCTGTGACCACCTTAAAATAATCTTGAAGCGTGGCCTGAATGTCCACAAAATCTAAGTTCCGTTTCTCAGACTAATGTGTTCCATTTGTGTGTCAAGAGCGTTCCATATAAAAACTGACCTAAAATTAGTGACTTAGTGTTTAAACCTGGGAAAGGACAGAGTGATTACACTTGAAAGTCTGAATTAGTGTTTTAGCCCAATCAGACCTTTCCTGTAGTGACCCACAACATTGTTATGCACAGGCTCTTTGAGAACAGGAGCTTAAAAGTTAAAAATAATGTTTGGGGTTTTTTGTTTGTTTTTTTTTTTCCCCAGTTAATTAGTGCCTGCCAGTTTTGTTCCATAGTTGTTTAGCATATGATTCAACCAAAACATGACTCACTTTTTAGAAACAAAGAGGAAGAGAGACTATCTGCTTCAAAGAGCTTATGAGCTCAAGGTCAAAAAAAACCAAAATAAGTAGTTTGCACAGAATTATAGTATCGTAGGATAGTTAGGCTTGGAAAGGACCTTAAGATTATCAAGTTCCACACAGTCTGCCATGGGCAGGGATGCCTCACAATAGGCCATGTTGCCCAAAGCTCTGTCTAACCTGGCCTTGAACACTGTCAGGGATGGAGCATTTACCACTTCTTTGGGCAGCCTGTTCCAGTGCCTCACCATCCTCACAGTAAAGAACTTCCTTATATCTAACCTAAGGAGAGACTTTTGCTTCTATCACAGAAATAATATTTTTATTAAAAAAAAAAATAGACCTCTGTAACTGCAATTTGTAATTCCTGTAGTTCAAAAAACCCTGTGTTTTCAGCATGCAGTGTAGAGGTTAAAAAAATAGCGGTGTCATGCAAATAATGGCACGTTCTTGGTATGTTAACAGTTCTTGGAGGTAAGTATTTCTGTGGTCAGTCACATCCCTATTCTGGAAATATTTAGGCCCTGGTTAACCTGGTAAATTTCATTTACATTAGAAAGCAGATATTAAATATGCACTTCTCAGAAATCATAATTTTGAAGTATCAGCAAAGTCATGAAAGCACTTATTATGGAAGGTGTCCCTGGGAGGCTTGGAACTAGGTGATCTTTAAGGTCCCTTCCAACCCAAGCCATTCCATGTTTCTGTGATGTGGCCTGCTTGTAAGTGTTCACATATGAGCCAGGTAGTAAGGCTTCTGCAGTCAGGTAAGAGCCATGGGATCATAGATTCATCTTCTTGGAGCTCTTCAGAGACACTTAATGACTTCTTATTAAAGGTATAAAAAAACTTC